AAAACCCTACCCTCCTTCCACTCCTCTCTGTAAAGCTTTTTACGGCCAATCCTTGTCATAGAGGTAGATGTCCAGTTTGTTTTGCCATCTCCTTTAGGCCTGCCGCGACGTCTATTGACATATTCAATACTTAATTCCCCTACGGAGCAAATATTATAATGCGTGATCCACAAATATTTGTTCCAGGGATAGTTGTAATGTAAACGCATTTGCTATACAGGTGAAGTGCGCACAAGAAAAAGCTTGTGTGGGACTGGATTTCAAAAATAAATATCTTGTTCTTTGTACTGTGGCGTTCTCATAAATGCAATGGTTTCACAGCTTTCCAGATTTTGAAAGCGTAGAATTTTTTTATAGTTTGTTCTTTGGTGGATATCATTACTGGTCGTTTGGAAGACCTATTTCACAGTATTGTCAATTATCGTGCGTCTAGACTCTGTGCAGTTTGTATGTTCAATTTTCATATGAATGCGGTTGTTCTCAAATCTTCAAACATAGATTTGAATAAACAAGTTGTATGAGAAATGAAATCAAAGATTACTCAATTTAATGTTGTGTGGTACAAATTTTTGATTCCTAACTAATAAGGTTGAACCGAACACTTTTCTTTCTCTTTATATTAATGTAAGTACAATGGAAACATTAAAGTTATCGTAAATATTATAATGGCGTGCAGCTAAATGTACTGCAGTAATGTACAGGTATCGTGCTTGTCAGAGAGGGCAGATGCATTAGCTCTGACAGCGGTAAGTGGCTCGCAAGCTCTGCATTCACTAAGGCCCATAGCACACGGCGTATTTTTAAACACTGAACGCAACCTTATACACCTAAGCACACGGAGCAATCCTGAAACACGTCTCTACTGTGCTTATACACGCTGTAGTCACTTGTAACACAAAAAATGCAACAAACGCGTGTGAAGGCAGCGGTGCCGTGAGTGTGGCCGCCTCCCAGCTTTACGCCAAGGCAACAATCAGCGTTTACGGCACCGAAGACGCGCGTTGCCTCTGCGTAGAAGATACTCTGTGTGCCTAAACTACTCTAGTCGTGTACTATCGTATTTTGTCACTATTAAAGTATTAATGATTGCTTTGTTTTATGTATAGGTATACATTTTTACTTTTTTATGTTACCTACTATCAGTACTAACAGAGCGGTTAGGCTAGGTTACGGGCCACCTGATGAAAAGTAGACACCGTGATCTTATTGGATACATTTGCAACTGCGATACAATACGAGTGCATTGTAGTTGATGTCGGAAACTGTTAAAAACTCCACTTTCGAGGAGTCGTTGAAAATTATGGTGCTATTAAAATATGTTTAGTACTAGATACTAAACTTCACTTACCAGATGAAACATCAACATTTATTTTTTAGTTATTTATTTTTAAGCCGATTTCTTAACTGCACCTAAAGATCCTAGTGTGGGGACAACTAGAATTTACTCCTGTCTCGTGGGTACGTTTACAAACATACAAGTTTACACACACATGACACCCAGATTCGAAACAATAATTTGTGGATCACACAAAGAGTTGCTTCGCGTGGGAACCCGCTACACGTTGCGCAGCGGCCGGTGGCCCAGCCACCGCATCGCACCAACCGTGCACTCATCTAACACACTGGTACTCTGAGCGAAGGTAGTACTGCCCTGGTCAATTCAGTTTATGTGTATAGCAACTATTATTTACCAGTAAAATTTTCTACTAATTGCTGCGTTGATTTCGTGGATATTTTAAACTGACTTGGAGTTTCAATAACGGGTAAGACACAAAATAATTGTTTTTCTATTTTTGGACTTTGCTTTGTAATTTAGATCTAAATTAGGGTTAGTTGGCTTTAATGTAGTCTATAGCAGCTCGTCAAATTATCATTAATTGACGAATTCTTTTAAAATATTTTATGCTTTATCAAAATCTCAGTAGACTGCCTCGTTGGCCGAGTGATGGTCGCAAGTGCGGGTCGGGCAAAGTATTACAGGGTTTTTAAAAAAAAACTCAGTAGTAGCACGGAGTCTGGATATTGTGCCCGGTATATGGCAATAGGCTCACCCCCTATTACATGGGACTCGTAACATAAATAGTGAAAAGTGGGTGGTAAATTATACAGTGGCATTAAGTGTAATGCCACTGTAATGTGCACTCCTTCCGTGATAAAAAGCGTGATGGTATGTTATGTAATGAACAAAAAAAGCATAAGGAAACAATTTGTGTAGCAAGTTTAATATTCTGTACCATACCTTTTTCTATTCAAAACAAAACTTTAATAAAGTAGGTATAAGGTACAAACACGTTGGCAACCTTGCAATAATGAGTGTAATGGTATGTGCACATTGCACCTAAACAGCGCAGCGGCACATCCGCGCCATTCATGAATAACTTAATTGGTTCAGTCTGTCTGTCCGCGTTACTTTATGGCTTCATAAACCTGAATAAACGTTGCTTTTGTTGACAACGATAAATTAAGTTTTTGTATGAAATTGTTGTGAGACTAGACTAGAAGAATGTTTTAAGCTGTGATGATTAGGTTATGATTCTTATGGTCACGGGATATTCCAGAACCAATACATTCACCGGCCTATAAGTGGCTACTGCTGAGCAACGCCTATCCTCACACGGAGAAGGTTTGAGCATTAAATGGTGAAGGACAAAATGGTGAGGAAACTTGGACTTATAATTTCTAATTATAAGTTTGAAACCGCCATCGCAGTGAGCAAGGAGTTTAATTCTTTGCCAGAGTCTGTATTTCCTGAAGGGTGTCTTCAAGGCCCGAGTGAATAGGTTGCTTATGGGACGACGTGCTCCATTGTAGACCTCATCATCGCTTACCACCAGGCGAGATAGTGGTCAAACGTCGGCCCGTCAAATATAAAAAGAAAGCCTGATCATTAATGCGAACCAATAAAATCTTCTTAATATAATAAACGCGTTTTGTGAATTTGTGATCAGTGATCACAAATTCTTCTGATCTTCTAAAAGTTACTTAGCGTGACGTAGCACTAAAACTAACTCTTTACTTCTACTTTTCAGTATTACTTATAAGTTTCACCAGAAAACCAAATTGTCGTTAAACGTCACCTATCTTCACTTAGAGGTTTCTTAAAATTTAGACAATGTGGGGAAAAACGGGCCTTAAAATTCTAGCATTAAGTATCACTTAACCTATTTTCCAAAAAGTTTACACAACACGTATTTAGCTGGCGTACATCGTTACATGTGTGTGTACACGCAGCCGTTAAAATTTACGTAACCGCAGCTTTGGTGGTGTTAGTTACAGTTACCGCGCACCGTTAGTCGCAGTTTAACCACAACTACTGGCCTGGCTTAATCTTACTGAGGTGGTGAGCACCTGTCCCTCTGCATACACAGCAGTGGTCGATACATAAAACTATCGTACATATTACACATCACACATTAACAGCCTATAAATTCCCACTGCTGAGCAAAGCCTCTTCTCACACGGAGAAGATTTGAACATTAATCACCACGCTTGCTCAATACGGGTTGACGATTTCAAACTTATAATAAGAAAAACCCAGGTTTTCTCACGATGTTTCCCTTTACCGTTTCTCAGTGGTGTCTGAATTATCTTAAAGTCTTAAACATCCGAATCACCACGACAATTTATATCTAGTAGTTGATAACATATTGTTCAAATCCTGCTATAGGTTAATGCTAGCCGACTATAAAACCCACAAAAAGAAAAAAAGTAAGTCATTATATCCGCAGGTCCATTTAATTGCATGAAAAGACACGTACCGTAGTATAATGCCCCTGTATTACTGAAAGAAAAATTATCTCCTGAAATCTGCAACGAGCTTAACCCTATTGTACCCACGTAGGTACACTGAGCCACCTTTGTACAGCTATGACGCTGAACTTAATGAATAACCATCCCCGACTGAAATACACGCTGAAATTACTGCATTAATTCCTTCAGCGATATTTATTATAGCGTAATAATTAGTGGAGGAGACAGGAGCTCGGGAACAGGGGGACGCAACTCTAGACCTATCTTTTTATTAAAATGTGTAAAGACGTTAAATTATACGATTAATTAGTATGATTAATGCTCCTTAAGAAGGAAGATGAGAAAAACAGTGTAAGAGAGGTAGGGATACTCTTGTTTTAATTAAGTTATTGTACTCACGGAATTATGGCCTTCGATTTATTCGAGAGTGCTTTTTCTTGCTTTATTCCGGAATATTAAAATTCATGGTACGAGCTGCGTGTTACTTAATCCAATATTTATTTCAAAGCAGTTTCCACATAGCCAACACAATGACCGATTACACAAGATGCACAAAGTGTCCTCGAACCGACCAAAATTGCGCAAACAAAATTATTTATTCAAATACATCTTATTCAAATTTGACAGTGCATAGATTTGTAGGTATTATAAATACTCAAAGTAGAAAATTGGGGCCGAATTAATTCGTAAGATTACAAAATTGGCTTAATAATGACCGGTGTACCTCCTGTAGGTATTATAGAGGAAGATAGGGGGGGGGGGGAAAGGGGGGAGGGGTACTCGTAACTCTGACGAGATAATTACATTATATTTCATTCACTTCAAGGCTGAATGCCACTGAATCGGTGCCTATTACCATTTTAAAATAATTTCACAAGTTCACTAGCTGAACCTCAATGCTTCACAAAAGCCATGAACTTCATTGTTCAGTTTCAGCGAAAACGGGTTACTGGAAATTATGTTCGACATTTTTGTGTTGATTTTATGAAGGAATTTGATTGCAACTCTATTTTATACTTTACATTCTGGTTCCTGTGTTAATAAGTTAATTATAGATAATCCTTGGAAATTATGTGCTTTCATTTATTTTACTTTATTTTGCGAATAGTCAGAAAACGTTAAAAAATAACAATTTACTTCTAGATTGTTATAGTTGTCGTATATCAAATTGTGATGAATATCATCACAAAATTTCTGTTAGGTATTACTGACTAATTACGTCTATAACATTTTTGAATTGTAACTCTTACCTTATAAGTACCGAGGTGTTCGACGACGCACGGCAGGCTGGCATCTCTGCCGAGTGCCACCGTCACGTTGGGGATGGGCTCCGCAAACCGAGGCTCCTCCGTCAACACTGACAACAAATAGAAAACAATCTTTGATTTGTTCATATTCTTATTATTCTAATTCTTATTTTTTTATATAGGCCGTAAAGAGTAAATGAGAATATGGTCCATAGATTAGGGAGCGGCTAATTTTGGAAGCTGAAAAATAAACTTAATAGTGAAACTCTATATTTAGTATTCGTACCTATGTATTACATTATCCGTTCGTATCTAAAGGAAAGTAGATACCAAAAATAGACATTTAAGAAATGGGATAATGTGCCACAAGCCCGCGGTAGACGTACATATCATTACGTAGAACTATTTACAATGTTCTTACTGAAATTACTTTGTTACTATCGTTTAAATAAGTGTATATGTATGGTTGAAAAACAAGCTCTCTAAGTAGGTAACTCGCGAGAATACCGCGCGGATAAACTAGCTCATTACCCTCTATGAAATTTGTATTCCGTTCTCGTCTCAGGACAGTCTCCCGTTAATAACTGGAGTTTTAATTACAGCAAACATCCTCAAAATATCAGTCGTTGGCAACATCATAAATCCAACAAATTAACTTTTAAAGCAGTTTGTAAACCGAAGATATCAACCTTCACATAAATCTTGGTGTGCGACACATTTTTACAACCGAACAAGTAATATTTTAGATTAAAATGCGAACAAGCACTTGAAGGATAAGCTGTATTTTAGACCCACTTTTTAAATGGAATAGTAAAGAGCTATAAATGTAGTCTAACCTTCAGACCGATGACCTTTATGTAAAGTATGAAGCATAACTTTGGTAAAATAATGAAGACGTATTTGAGTGGAGTATAATGTAAAAGCGCTTAGATTGATATTTTTAATCAACCGCAAAGTTAGGAAGGCGAGAGTTGCCGGCTCGTTATGACAAGCAAAATATTGTTTATTACAGAACTTTGGCAAATTCCCCCCCCCCCCACCGCTACTTCAGATCAAGGCGATGATAACGACGAGAGTAAAGGGTAAGTGCGCGGAACTTCGGCTGTGAACACATCAACGGCTCCTAGTTAAAGGGATTTTACAAGCCTTTACGTAATTTTAATGACGTAATGATTTGAATTGTCATCGAGACGAAATAACTTTAGAAATAAATGTAATAGAGGTTCACCTCACTCTTAACCTGTATATTTAATATTTATCAGTATAAACTTATTTTACCGACAACAGATAGTTGTTCGACGATTCATATTTTTTACTGGACGTTTCCTTTTGAACGGTCGTATCGATACACGAGCAGTTACAATATTAATGAATACAACGATACCAACACATACACATTTAGAGATAATTGGATATTGCTGATTGAAACATTAACCATGCATGAAACGCCTAAATCTCGTCTAACGTTTATAACAGGATAATATGGGGTAACTGCCTATTCGATAAGGATTTACGTTAACTTTATTACCTCATTGAATACCTGAACGTACCCTCTAAAGTTGAATCCAATATTTACTTGCGAACAGTTAACATTAACTTGCTTCATTACACGGAAGACAAAACACTGTAACGAGAAATTACTGCACATCTTGTAAAAAGGAAAACACAACTTGTTGGAATCACGTCGATGCGGGGCGCCGTGTACAGTGTGTACACAGCCTAATGACTCATACTTCGCCGAGTATGGTAATTAAAAGTACGTTACAAACTCCGGTGTATAGTATTGCGAAGTAAAAAAGCGCCGCGCGCTCCTACCGACGGCGATAATAAACGAACGCAAACATTTTCCTTTTAGCAGAAGACGATAATTTTTCATCAATACATTTTTGTGTATCAGTTGTACGATATTATTGTTGCTCTTCGTCGCAATGATTATTTTCTTAGAATTCGGATTCTTATTTGCGTATTAATATCGGAAAGACTTCGACGTAAATTATTTCCTTGACAACGATTAGACGTCTTATCCTTAAGTATACTTTCGGTTGTCTGTCAATGTTTTGTGCCGTTTGATGTTTTGTTGTATCTCGAAATATTATCTGAATATTTTTAAGCAATTTTTATTTTACTGTTCTCTATATTAATATTCACGTGAACATTAATGTTAAGCCATGGTAACGTTCAGCGTTAGCTCGTGTTGACTAACTATTTATGACTGCGTATACAGGCATTATGAATGCATCAACATCATCGCAGTAGGATCCATCACAAAAGACATAGAACACAGTTTTGCTCTCCGCTCGTCACGCGTTAATTAACTCATTTGTTCACGAGGCACACATTCTTTGACTCTCAACTTATTTAATCATCATGGCATTCTGACATTGTGTATACGTTCGTTGAAGCGGTTAATAAAATGATAAACATTCAAACTTTTTAATATAATAAACTGTGTAAATGTAAAACATGGATCCAAATTTTACATATATAAATACTTTATAAACTACGTCTTCCACCCCCTCTTTTTTGGAGATTGGTTTATTAATATAGTAAAACCTTCTCCTAAATGTAACAAACAGTTTTCTTTCGCATCACAATCGGTTCAGCCAATAGCGAATTGTCCCGCAAACACTTTTTTAAAGTCGGTTAAAATATATCAAAATGTTCAGAGTGTATTTGAAACATACCAATATCAAAATTCCCGTTGTTTCATACAGATTACAATTCCACAAAATGTAGGTGGGTATATGTCGAACATTTAATGCTAAATTAACTCCGCCAATAATACCGAGTGTATCGTTTTTCCCAAATTCGCCGCTACCTGTCTCCCTGATAGCTTTCTCTTTGAATAATTTGCAAGTCGAAATGGCAATAAATTTTATATTTTAGCCGGAGTTCGTTTCAAAGAAAAAGTAATATTGTTTCTTGACTGTGACATTTTTCAACTTGTTTACCGAACTGAAGCCAACAGCTGCGTGTCTCGGCATTTATAAAACACCGCTAAATTGAGTGTACACTTCACGCGTTCGATAAACTTGTTTCGCGAAACACTTCTACAATGTGCTGTTTATACATACCTTCTCGCAAATTGTCTATTTTGCACACTATGGTTACGGCAATAAGATCATGTCTACTGTTTTGACACTTTAGTATCTTCACTTTATTCTAAAGCTCATCACATTATAGTAAAATATTATTTCAAGAATTACTCCGAGTAGTGAGAACCGTCATATGAAGTTGGTGCTCGTTAGCTCACTTGAAATTCCCGGCAGCCACATCGGAGCCCTAAACTACAATTACGTCGTGGAAACACACAAATTGATCGACACCACGACTAATTTAATAACCAATTACTCTGCCTACCCCCAGTTACTACTGCTCGGAGATATGAGCCGCGAGATTTAATTACTCGAGTTGAGAGCCCCTCAAAATATTGTCTTCATTAAGGGCTCGCTCCCTTTGTGTCGCGTTTTATTCGAAAAGTTTGCGTGTAATTTCGGAAAACTTAGTTAGGTGGCCTGTTAACGTTCGCGTTCCTGATTCTCATCACATTCAATGTGTTGATATTGTTGTATATCATTCACTTTTTATAACATAAGAAATACCAAGCTCATTAACTCAAGTCTTATTGCTTTATACTTAACTACGAGAACTTGAGCAGTGAGTCGACGCAGGACGTATTTGTGTTATCCTATGAACGAATAACCTTCTCCTTTTAAAACAAATCTATTATTACAAGCAAGATACCATTATATTGCGACCTGTGCGGGATCCCACTGAAACCAAAATTTCAAAGAATCGACCCGTTTTCACAAATACGTGAAATTCACATTATAACAGAAAGGAAATAAAAACATGTTCGAATAACATGTAAGAAAACGTTTAACTTGAAGAACTTTTAGTATATTTAAATAGATGGAGAGGATTTATTAACATAATTATGCAGGCACTCTCTTTGGAACATTCAATAATATGAGAATCTAGAAGTATGTCGTTTTCATTAGACATCACTACGTTTTCCCTGAATCAGTTAAAATATAACCAGCGCAGTGGTGACTTTATTCTAATGAAGTACAACTAAGCATTGCGCTACAAGCCAATTATTGGGTACTTTTTAATTCTCAGAAATAGATAATGAACGGAAATGCCCTCGGAGGAAATCAGACTTCTAAATTATAATATTATGAGTTTAAGGGAAAATAAAAATAAATTGTTTCAGAACATTTTCCGTGTGATTTTAGATATCTACATAGAAAATCTGTGCGTTTATCTTCCGGCCCTTACTTCAAAATGCATGGAGTCGATATAACGCGTCTTTTTCCATTTTTACCAATGGTTACATTCTGCAGAGGCTTCTATTCCACGATACCTCATTAAAAAAAGAATAACTAGCTCACGTAAAGTATTAAGCACATTTAACAGTTATTAGAAATATACAAATAAATATATTTTTTATGTTATTTACAAAATCAGCTTTATTTATTCATAAGCAACATTAAGTAATAAGAAAAAAATTAACCTTAAAAATTAATTAACCCCTATTACATGAGACTCATAACATAAATAGTGAAAAGTGGGTGTTACATTGTACAGTGGCATAATGTGCACCTCTGCCTACCCCTTCGGGGATAAAAGGCGTGATGTTATGTTATGTATTAACCTTAAAATACACTAGAACTAATAGAGAATATTAATTAATAAAAAAATAAACAAATATCGTAACATTCTAAGCAATAGATAACAGCTCTTCCACGACATTCCCTACACATACTCTCAATTTCTTTGGTCATCCATTTACTTACCTTGGCATATAATAGTGATGATCTGTATGATGCTGATGGCGAAACTCCTGCAGGGTCCTCGGCGGGTCATGGTGCATCACGTTCTCATCTCGTCTCCACTCAACGTCGCGCAGCGCCACTACCGGACCTCCGTCTCACCATCTGTTAGCAGAAGAACACAGTTAAAGAGGAATTTTTAATTCATTTAAAAGAAAAGATTTCTGTTTGATGTAAGTTTTATCTGTCATTGTCGTCATCAGCAGCAGTTACGTTACTTGTTTTTGTGTTATCATATTATGAACCTGTTTAAGTTCCGATTATTGTAACTGCCTCGTTGGCCGAGTGGTCGCAAGTGCGACTGCCGGGCAAGGATTCTGTTTGAGGAGGGTTCGATTCCCGGGTCGGGCAAAATAATACTGAGTTTTTAAAAAAAATCTCAGTAGAAGCACGGTGTCTGAAATTGGGCCCGGTATTTGGCAATAGGCTCACCCTCTATTACATGGGACTCATAACATAGATAAAGAAAAGTGGGTGTTACATTGTACAGTGGCATAATGTGCCTCTGCCTACCCTTCGAGGATAAAAGGCGTAATGTTATGTTATTTTTTGTAAGTCTGTGTGCAAAAATGTTAGCAGTAAATTATAGAATCGTTCGATCATTATACAGATAGACTACACGTCCCTCCAGAGTGTTATAAATGTTCCACAAACTATTATGGATACGGTAGCAATAAAAACATTGTTTTCTATACTTTACGCTAGGTACTTATTTCAAAGATTCGTTTCAGCGCAACATATTAAAATAATTTAACCATAAATTACACATTAATTCATCAAGCAAATAATATATATCAGCACAACACAAACCATTAAAATATGATAATAATTCTCAATCGTTATCATTTCATTGACAATTTATTCACAATACGTGATAAACATTAAAATACGGTGTGTATGTGATTAATTACCGGGCAACCCCACTCGTTTATCAATTTGTATCGGCAGTGACAATATAAAACTTATTGCTTGTAATGATAACATCGTTTTGTTTTGACGTAGGCTAATAGGCTGGCAACATTGATGTCAATAAAATAAAAGCTATGTCAAAGTCAAAGCATTTATTTCAATTACACCATATTTTGGTGCTTTTAAAAATCGTCAACAAATACAAAATAAATAATAGTCAGTCAGTCAGTCCGTCAGTGAAGCTAGGTGAAGCTAGGTGCTTATTGCAAAATGTAGATTTAAATAGAGAAGAACGAGCAAGACACTCCATTCGTTACTCTTTTTAAAAAAGTAAGTTCTACAATGTCTCTGATGCATATTCCAATACTGTACATATATGTGAGAACAATGCAAAGACACCCTTGACGCATTATAGGTACTAATTACCATGTCTATGACTAAACACAGATTTTGATTAATTTGTGTTTTAGCAGTTCGTTCAATAACGGAACAAAGTGTTATCACGAATTGAGCTGAACTTGTTGTAAAATGTTCTTGGTTACCATTTCAGGAGCCACCCTATCATTTCCCGTGGGTATCGTAAGAGAAGGACGGAGGTATTATGTCTGGGGGACGGGTAGTATTTACCTTGTGTTCTAACAGGGTGAATATAATAATATAAGACCCCCTTCATAAATTATTATCAAGAGAAGCCGTTTGTAGGGAAAGCAGATCCTGAACGTATCATCACCGCAGAATCCTTTTGCATATTTTGGACAAAATTTGACTATTCCGAGGGATATTGGCAGAAATAATATGTGGTTAGCTCACATTGTTATTTTGTTACAAAGATAACAGTGACTTTACTATTGATTTTGTTATCATGGCGTGTCAAAATAATTGTGTATATCTAATTGCCTTCAACCTTTTATTATAGATTTAATGATTTAATAGCTTTATTTTTGCTGCAGCTGTAGTAATATTAAAGGAAAATTGACATTTTTAGATTTATTTATAAGTTTAGTTATCACGACAAGTTAAGCTGACAGTGAGATCTAAATGTGGTGACCTCACGAGTACAATCTATAGGGTAGTTCGATGGAAACATTCCCCGAATTTAAGAGTAGACCAGTTAATTATCTCTATTCTACATAATGAAAGGAAAAAAAACGTTATTTTTAAACATTCCTAAAACGGATTTGATCGCATGTAAACTGCAGTCAGTAGGTCGAAGCACAAAATATCTGTGACATATTAAATTTCTATTTTTGTATCATTTCACTTCGACTTTGAATTAGGTAGGTTACATACATTTACACCAAACTATAATTGCATTGCCGAATGAAAGCACTTAATGATGGCGAAAAAGTTTGGAGAAATATTTCCAGAGTAGCACTTTAAACAGTACTCGTTACATCAGCCATCTTAATCTCAGCCTTCGACTTATCATACCATTACGAAACATAAACAAACCAAACAAAAGGCTGAGTAGCGACAAAATATTCCGTTAAGCCGTCACTCGATTTGCATTAGAGCACAAATGAAGTAAGAATTGAGCAAAGACTCGTTAAGTAGCCTCAAACGAGTCATCTGAGGTCGCGACTCAGTGCCGAGACAAAGGTTTTGTGATAACGACACAAGTTACTGGCGAGGAGCGGACTATTGACGAGGCAAAGCTATAAAATCCTAGACAGATTTGATACTATACTTGAACATTTCATCTGCTACAATATGTAATAGTGCAGATAGATATAATTTTAAAGTTAAATAGAGTGAACTATGTAGTTAGACCATAGTACGCAAGCACTCAAACTGTTCCGAAAACAATGCTTGACTATTAATAACAAATCTAATTTCCCAGTCCTGAGAACTAAGGCAGCACAAATGCATTGGTAAACGCAGTTCGCTTACTGACCACATAAATCCTGAAATAGAAGGCTCTATTCGAACTAGCTCCAGTTTTAACGTAGCTGCGGTTTCTCTAAAATAGAAATAGTCCTTCTAGTCCTAACATTCGGCTCCATTATACACTGTCATTGCTTCGACCACAGCCGACGGCTTCAGCGGAAGTCAGCGTCGCTCGTGCCCTGAAACTTGATTTATCCCGCGATCAAATTCAATTGTGTCAAAAGAGAAATTGACTAAAAATTCTACTGTCGCACTGAGTCCGACCGACACGACGTCCCGTACTCGGGTTACATTTTTTAACATTTAATATTCCCATTTTAATTATTTTTTGTAAGTGATTTTCTGTGATTGTCTATGTAGATTTCGAACTATTCATATTGCAGTAGAGTTAATCTAATAATGTGATGGTGTTAATAAAACTTCCTTTAAGTTTTAGTGTGGGTAGGTTATCTTCGTCGACTTATCGCTCCTGGCAACGTTTTGACAGTGGATCAGAGAAGGACGATTAAAAAAGCCTCCCTAGTTGACTAGCATTATAAAATTTAAATTTACATATTGTTATTGTTTCTTACGAAAAGCATATTGTTGGCGAGCAGCCAGCTCCTTGTTTATGATGTTCTATTGCATTCTTCTTCGCTACGTTAATATTATACGTGACTGCGGGCACTAACTCATGTTGTGCTTGTATCAATAATATCTATTCTATTCCCCGCTCTATATATTGCACATAAAGCTTTGTACGACTATCAATACTGCAACATGCTTCTTTTATTATATTTTAGTAAGGTACTCACGAAAAACACATTTATTTCTAAAAAAAAAATACGTTAATACTTTCATTTCCAATATCAACAGAAAAAAACTTCGTTTCAGAGACTTTCAGGTAGCTGTCTCATTAGAAGTAATAAAAAATAGGTTCACAAAATGTTCATCCGAAAATAACCAAAGTAAATCCAGACAAAAATGTCGGCCGACTGATCCCAAAAGTTAGGCGAGTGAAATCGTGGCAAAATGCCAACAATACATCATTATTAACTTTGCGAACATTGCTCGCTTACTGACGGACATCATCATTGCTCCATTACAAGCAAATATTACTGATAAAAAGACCCCAAAGACCCGTGTAATGAAAAAATAACAGCGTTTAATGCCGCCCCTGATCGGCTAATACCCTGTATAAATATCCCACTACCGTACCATTATCGGCAATAAAAGTGTTTGGTCCGTCAACATTATCGCAAATTTTCACGTCCAATACCTGTTTTGTTCGTCCGAAATCAATTGGCGGCGCTTTTGTAATAGAATTGTGAATTGAAACTCGATCGATTGTAGGGTCGTCGCGAAACCGCTGCGGGCGGACATCGTCTGGTTGTGATTCATCTTTACGTCGCTGTCGTACCGAAGGTTTATGCAGGGCTGTCGCCTGACACTTTTATTCCGTATTTTATTAGACAGATAAGCAAGTTATGATTTTAAGAATTTATTAAAGACATCTGTTTCTCTTTATAAGTAGTCGGTTTACGAGTAAGTTTCGCACTGGCAACTACATAAAAAGTATTTTATGCAGCAAACATTTTTATAGAGGAAGTTAACACAGTAAAATCGGAAATGGTGCATAAATCGTAAATTTATATTAAAATATAACCTAGAAACTCTTGTTTAGTTTGAAGAAGGAGCAACAATTATCGATTATGTCATCACTAAGTTAAATTGCTGCTGTCGATACCTGCTCTATAAATTAAGAGCAAAACCGTACATCCTCCACGGTCCAACATCTAACTAATCAGATTCTAGTTCTAATCAATAAATCGCGTCCATTTTAGACTTATCGGCGATTCAGATTGGAATCATTTAACCTTAGTTCGACCTTTGTGAAGCCTGTCTTGTATTAGGAAAAACTTAAACAATAGAACCCCGTTATGGTTCGAGTTTAATTAATTAATTCTGTATAACAAGAGTATCAAATTTTATTACTCAATTAGCTTTTAGGATAACTTTTAACGGTTAACCTGTATTACCGTTATTGTTAAAAACCTTTTTCTTTTTATAATAGCCATATTATAATATAAGCCATACTGGTGTGTTGAATATTCAGGACATCCCCATGAAAATCTTGACTTTCGGCAATATAGCCAATGATGGTGAATAATGTTAAGTATGTTACAAATATAAACATAACCTTATTGACCTAAAGTTTAGTGATTCCAAGGATGCAAGCATCTCTTTCAAACACTAAGTATATACCCCGTTTGAGGTCGTTTTACGTAAAGGTACAGGGTACGAGTAGTTAAATAAATTAGTAAAATTCCT